GGAGAGGGCAGACAGGGGATGTCCAAATCAATGGCCCACAACCCATTGTGCTGCTTTATCTTCCATTTCAGAGCAACAAGCCCAGGAACTTGGTGAGTATCATTTTCTTCTGTTCATGGGAGTCTCCTCTGTGTTTTTCATGTGTGCCCTTGTTTTGGGCAGAGAACAAATACAGAATTATTTTCAGAAATATTATTTTCCATTGGTCTCTGTGTGGTTTTAGGCTCTTCCCTGTAATTGTTCTGTACTAAGAAGAAAATTCTTTCAGTTGTCAAAGTCCAAACTGACCATAAATGCATGTCAGAGTCAGGACAGGCAGCGTGATTGGATTTGTAGGAAATGGGTGGAGCCCTTCCATGTAGTCAGACACTGAAGTTTTGAAGCAACTCACTGTGAGATGATTTTGACAAAGATAACAACAATTCAGAAAATGTGCACCTCCACTGGCATATCATTCCCTTGAGCTAACCCAGCCCCAGTGTGTTCCATTGCCTCTGACCTGTGGGTTCTGTGGTTTTTTTTAAGCATGGAGAAGACATGCAGTGCCTATAGAAGAAGGTAACTAAGTCTGGTCTTTCCTGGTGCTGAATCATTTTGCCTGCTTTAATGGCCCTTCCTGGCAGTTCCCCTCCTGCAAGTGATGCTGCTGGGACCAGGCATGCTTCTGCTGAGCCTTCCTTTCCTTTGGTGCATGTCCCACTTCCAGGCAAATCTGGAGGATCGTTGTCCTCGGTGAGCTGTGTGCAATTCTTCATCCTGGAGCTCTGCTGATGATCCTCTTCCCTCTCTGCTCCCTCTGTTCTCTCTGCTGCAGTGTCTCTTCCTTGCCCTCATGTTGTCACCTTGTGCACCTTGCCATGCCCCACTCTGCCAGCTCTCCCTCCCCCCCTGCTTCTTCCTTAGGCAGCCCCAGCAAAGATGTGTCCTGGGCCGAGCTCTGCCCTGATGTGTTGATTCCATCTCTCCTGCAGCAAATGTGGTTCTGGATCCAGACACAGCCCACTGTGACCTTGTTCTGTCTGACAGTGACAAAAGTGTGACACGACTTGACACACGACAGGACATCCCCGACACCCCTGAGAGATTTAACCCGTGGCGCTGCGTTCTGGGCTGTGAGGGCTTCACCTCGGGGAGACACTACTGGGAGGTGGAGGTGGAGGATGCAGGAGGATGGGCTGTGGGGGTGTCTAGAGAAGATGTGAGAAGGAAGGGTGATATTGAGTTTAAACCAGAGGAGGGCATATGGGCAGTGGGGAACTGGGCAGGGCACTTCCAAGCTCTCACCTCCCCTGATCGCATTCCCCTTCCCAAAATACCGGCTCCAAAGCGGATCCGGGTCTCTCTGGATTATGAAATGGGACAGGTGTCATTTTTCAGTGTTGATGAGAAGATTCCCATCTTCGTGTTTCCACTGGCATCATTTGGGGGGATAAAAGTCCACCCTTGGGTCTGGCTGGGTCCTGGGACATTTCTGAAAATATGGCCCTGATGAATAGGAAGGAGGAAGACAAGGCTTTTTTAAGGGACCTGGGGAGTTCAGACTCACAGTAAGATTG